CTCGAAACATGTCTGCTGGGGCCTCAGCCTGGCATCTCGCTGGGAGGAGCTGAGATCCGTCCATGCCGCTCCCTTTGACCAGTGCCGGCAAGAGGCTCAGCTGTTTGAAGTCTGATCTCCAGATTCCAGGGTACCATCCATCATTTATGCCGACTGGGCAGCCTGCTTGGGTTTCTTGGAGTTTTGGGGATGAGCAAGGCTAATGAATACCATACTCCCTGCCCCTTGCAAACACAATTGCACACATGCGCACTCGGGCGCGCGCGCGCGCGCGCGCACACACACACACACACACACACGCACCACACGTACAGGTGCACAGCTCGTGCACAAATTCCATGGTAGAGGGTGGACAGAGGGGTCCTCAGAGACTCAGGAAGATGGAGACATCATTCCTATGGGGGGGCATGTTCTGTTGGGACCCCTTCGGGCCCCGGGGATCGTCCTATCCGCTGGGCTTGCTTATTCTTTCTCTGTTGTCTCTTTGTCCTGCTTCATAAGGAACATTACGGTGAGTGTAACAGGCTCCACCGGGCAGGGCTGCTGGGAGGATGAATGACACAGCACATGACGTGCTGCGCATCGAGCCCGATGCTGGGAAGTATTCGTTGAAACAGCAAGGATGATAGTGACTGGCTCAGTTGAGTGCTGTGTGTCAGGCACTGTGCTAGGGGTCTGTGTGCATGACCCCACCGTAGGTTCTTTCTCTCCCTGGCACTAGGCACCGAGGACAACATAAACAAGACTATGAAACTGTCGGATGATCCTGAGTGATCCAGTGTCTGAGTCTAGTCCTTCTGCGTAGCCCAGGCTGGGCCCAAATTCGCCATCCTCCTGCTTCAGCTGCACCAGTAGCTGGGGACCTGAGCCTGCACCCCCAGACTTGGCTCCAGTGTCTGCTATTTTCTTTAGGAGTCCACTTGCCTTTGTCAAACCCTAGGGTTTCTGGCTCAAGTTCCTGCAAATGCACGAAGCTTGTTTTCTGATCAGCCCAACCTTTCTTCATTCCTCCATCTCATCTTTAGTCTATCCCCTACCCACTAGCTTCACCGTCCCTCTTCCGTGTTCCCAGTTGCTAAGCCCTGCCCAGAAATTCACACACTTGCTCACTCACCCGTCTCTCCAACCATTGACCTATTCACCCATCCTCTTGCCCATGTCTTTCTACCAACACGCTACTTCCCTTTACGTCCATCTGCCTGTCATTCACCCACCCATCCATCCATCCGTCTATCCATCCATCCATCCATCTACCCACACACCAACTTCTCACTCATCTACCAGCCAGCCAGCCTCCCCGAATACACAACGTATTTATGGACCTACCTAGCCACTCATGCAACCACTCACCCACCCCAAATACTGCTCCGCTCCTCCATCTCTCCACCCATGGACCTGTCTACCCATTCACCCTCCACCTATCCATCCTTGAACATTCCCACTCTCCATCTAACAACGGCTTTGTGCACATTGTGCTCTGTGATGCCCCAGCATGGCCCCCTGGATTCTTTCCCTGAGAAGAACTATGCATGCCACCAGAATGTCCCCACAGAGGTAGCCTCTTTGTGGCCGGGACTTTGAAATCCATTGACTTTCCAGGATGTAGGGCCAAAAGATGATAAAATGCAAGAACAACCAAGGCACAGGCTTCCAGCAGAGCAATTAAAGGTGAGCTAATCTCTCTTCCCTTCAGCGGAGCCAGGGAGCTCCAAGACACACAAAAGGAGTCAGCAACAGAAGAACGAGAAGCTGAAGAGATCAAAGGCAAGCAAGTGGAGGCTCCTGATGTTTTAGTGAGAGCTCAGCTCCCCTGCCCTTCCGTCTCCCCTGCACTCCTTCCTCTCTATACTCCTTCGCCAATGCTCCCTGCTGTCCACATCCCCTCCCATCTGTCTTCTTAGCCCACCCTCCCAGCTCCCCCATCTACAGCCCTTTGCATTTGCTGTTCCCAAGCTCCCAAGATGAGGGCACAGGTGTAGCACTTCCTGTCCACCTCCCAGCAAATGACCTCACCTCCAGACCAGAGGCCCCCTCTTCAGAGTCACAGAGAGGCCATTTATCGGCAAGGCCACTTTGATGTCCATCTGACAGTATGACATGAAGCCCGAGCGCTGTGTTGAAGTGGCAAAGTGCGACCACCATACCGCCCACGAAACACACTGTGACACCTTGTTTATTAAAAATAACAGCAAAAGCCTCGGAACCAATGTGTGGAAGAGATGGCAGAGTCGGCTTCTCTATCTGGAGGTCGGGCTACCTGTCTCTACCATGAGCATTTCACCTTTCTTTTGACACCCCTCTTCCCCACCCAGTGGGTCCACCATGAGAAAGGTGAGGACAGCATGGGTGTGGCCTTCAGAAAGGTGGGACACTGGCTCATGTAACCCAAGGACACAGGCTGTAAGGCCCAGAGTCTAGACCTCCACTGTCCAGGGCCGGTTTGTTCTTCACAGTTCTGTGTGGGGTGTGGATATCAGAGGCCCACTTCTGCCAGCATTAGAAAACCAGATTTGAGTGTGAAAAGTGAGTCTCCTTAAAGGAGGACGTAGGATGAATGGCAGACGCAGTGAAGTAGCCCAGGGAACACGTCATCAGCTCAAACTGAAGACGCTAGCATACATCCTGCGACACCCAGGCACGGAGAGCTGAGATCCTGCCTGTGCAGGTGGCTAATTCATCCCTTCCCGCTAAGCTGCCAGCTCCTCCTGCCCTTCAGACAGAATTGTGTATCCCAGGTTGACTCCAACTCACTATGTAGCCAAGTATGACTTTTGAACCCCTGATCCTCCTGCCCCCACCTTGCTGGGATTAACGGCGTGCACCACCACAACCCGGTTTATTCAGAACTGGAGATGAACTCGGGACTTCGTGCATGCTAGCTACCTCCTCCCCCGACTGAGCCAAATTCCCAGCTTGTGATAAAGAACTGAGAAATGGAAGAAATTAAAACGAGCGCATACGCACCTCAGCTCCCTAATGGAGCTGCCTGCCCTTAACCATCTCCCCTTGTGTTTGTGGCTCCGTGGAGGCGCCACCGTTAAAGGGAACCAGCCCTTCACCGAGAGCAGGTCAGCGTCTTGGGGACAGCCCAGCCTGATTCAATTAAGATGGGGCTCTGAAGGGCTTTCCCTAGCACACCAGGCCTGCAGCCTGCGAGACCTTCAGCAGCTATTTCTGCCACTTTCTCCCTCCCCTTCCAGCCATGAGGAAGCAACTGGGGGTTGCCATGGAAACTGGCTCATCCTCCCACAGGAGGCTTGCCAGCTCTGATTTCCTGCAAAGATAAGAAGCAAGCAGTAGTGGGGGGTCACCCAAGCATGAAGATGGGTTTCCCTGGGGATACCCAGATTCCTGCCAATCACACTGTTTATGTAGAAATTCTGAGGGTGCCTGGAGACCCAGAGCCAGGGAAGCCCCCAGCCCTGCTCCAAGAGATGAGCCCCCTGGAACACCTTGGCTTAGGGCCTCTTCTGTCTCTCCAGCTAAAGCTAAAAGGACCTCATCACAGATGTGTCTGCACCACGCTTGGGTGTTCCTGACTGTCAGCTCTCCAGTGCCAAACACAAGTGTCCCACCACCACCCCTGAAGCCCTTGCAGTGAAGAACAGACTGCCCACCAACATCTGCGTCTAGGAAAGGTGGGCAGGCTGCTCTCTCCTGGCAAGAGCTGTGTGATCGCAGGCAGGTCGCTTTACCTCTCTGAGCTGGCGTTCTCACCTGGAAAGCTGACATCACACACCACCTTCTCCAAGACGCCTCGAGGACTGGAAATACAGATCTGCTGTGCCTGTCTCAGCGTTTCCCAGCACTCGGGAGGCAGAGCCAGGTGGATCTTCCAGTTCAAGGCCAGCCCGGTCTACATAATGAGTTCAAGGACAGCCAAGACTACATAAAGACAAGAAATAAAAATTCAAAAGAGCAAAAGCACTTGGGAAACAGCGCCTAGTAGCAGATGACCATGTTTGCCAGTACAAGGGAGACTTGCAAGCTACGGTTCCCTTGAAGGCAGCCCTCGCTCCTAAAATTGATACAAAGGTGGGTTTTCATCACTGATTTGTTGGAGCCATGGCTGCAGTGCCCAGAGTCGGGTGAGCAGCTGAGGACCAGCTGGCTGCTGCCTCTCACTCGCTACCCCAGTGCTCCCAAGAGTCAGCTCAGGCGCTCGGGCTCCAGTGCCTTTGGGACCAGAGGGGACTATAGATGTTGAAGCTGACCCAGCCAAAGCCCTGTGCTGAGCACCCCTAGCCAGAGCTACTCTTGGGACTGAGGGCCAGGCGCGGCCAGGGAATCCACGCGAATTCTCTACAGATAATATGATATCTAGTATGTTGTTTGACTGAATCATTCTATGCAGGCCTGGCTGTACCAGAAATCACTATGTAGACCAGGCTGGCCTAGAACTTACAGAGATCCTCCTGCCTCTGCCTTGTGAAGGCTGGGACTAAAGGTGTGCACAACTATGCCCAGTTCTATGTTTTTTTTTTTTTGTTTGTTTGTTTGTTTGTTTTTTTAAAGTGCAGGTTGAACAAAGCCGTTAGACAGGCTGGTGTGCACTGGAGCAGGGGCTTGTGTCTTGGGGTGCAGGGAAATAGACTCCCCAGGCTGGAGCATCTCACAGGATCGGGTCTTTCTGGGTCACACCCCACCCCAGTCTTAACGCAAGGAAAGCCCTGCTACCTCCTGTCTGAGAATCAAGGACAGATGACTTTAGCCCTCAGAGTGCAGCTTGCATCTTCCCAGGCATCCACACGAGGAGAGGGAGGGCCATGTCTCTTTAAAAATTTGGGCACAGGACAATAGACACCCTGACGAATCCACACGGGTCTTCTCATGACCCATATCTACCACACAAGGCCTGAACTACAGCGGCCCCTAAAGGTGAGGACAGTGCCTGCTCTGGGAGTGAGGGGCACCATAGTGTGGACTGGTGGGAACCACAGAACAGGAGGCACCGGTGAACCCAGAGCACAGACAGCCTGATCTGGAAGCAGGTCTCCACAGCGAGATACAGAGCTTTTATTGGCTTTTTCTGCTCTCGGCGTCCTGTGTGTCCGCTCCTCTGGACACAGCATTCTAGGGGAACACTGGGAAGGCAGTGACACAGGCACAGAAAGTCAGGAGGCCCCGGGTGAGTGCAGTGTCTTCTCCATAGGTCACAGCCTGATACGGTACCGGATGGGCACGTCTTCTTCGGGCTGCAGCAGGCCGAAGCCGTATCTGCCGAGGTCAAACTCGGGGATCTCTGTGTCCTTGCTGGCCAGCTCCAGGTCAAAGTGAGTCAGCAGGAGGACCACAAATCTGCAGAGAGAGAGGGGGCAGGTTACAGACTGTGCTGCTCTGGGCAGACCCGGGCAAGGCGAGGCCAGCGGGAGCAAAGGAGGCTGAGCGGCTGTGTCCGCGGCAGCCACTTCCGCATCACAGCCACAAAGACCCAGAGTGTGAGTCTCCAGCTCTCCTGCAGACGACAGAGCGGCCAGAGGGAGGGGCCCAGACATGCGTCTCTAACCCCACACCCAGGGCACCTGGGTAGTCCTGCGTCCCAGACGCATCACAGAGCTCGTGGTGACAAGACCCTCCTCCTGCCTCTCCACCAGCCTGCACCCCTTTTCCTAAGCTAAGAACTAAGTCACCCCCGGGCCCCGGCCACACTTATTAGGGGTGCTTGTTAAGATTAAAACTTGCCCACTCCCTCAAGACTCCTCAGCCCCGTGCGACACAGAACCGTCACCAAGGGCCACCTTCGCAGGGCACACTCTCTACCACCACCTTCTGGAGACAGGAAAGCTGTCGTGACTAGGTTGCCGCCTCAATGACACAATGACAGGCTGTGCCCTAACTGGTGAGCTTACTGTCCTGCGCGTCACGGCTGTCCTCCACCTCAACTCGGGTGCCTAACGCCAGACTAAACACACACTAGGACTTTCTCCTTTCACCGAGAGGAGCAGGCGAGTGGATAAGCCAGCCTGCCGGACTTAAGGGGAAGTGACTCTCCCCAGGGTCTGTACCCAATGATCGGAGCATCGCCGCTGTCGTTGCCTGAGAGCTTCCTTGCAGGGAGATGGCAGTGACCGAGGAAACAACAAACTCACTCACTTGTCGAGAGGCCATCAGCAAGGCACTGTGCTAAGCACGTAAAAGCCAGCATCTATTTTGTCTGTCCCTAAATGGATGAAGCAAAGACTACCAACGAAGTGCTGGCCTAGCCATCTATTTGAATGAGAGCATCTGTCCTGGTGTGATCAATACGTTAGGGTACAGACGTGAGCAGAAGGCGAACCTCACGTTTGCTCACGTGCCATTTCGTGTTCCGTGAACAGGGGTGAACGCCGAGCCTGCACCAGCGGGGCGCGCGCGTGCACGCGCGCACACACACACACACACACACACACACACACACACACACACACACACATACCTTAGCATCAACTGACTGCCCTGTTCATCAGACTCTGTGCCTTTTTGAAGGTTTTTCTCAATTTTACTTTTTATTATGCTTGGCAGGTGGGGGAGTGCGGAGTGAAGGGCCTGGGGATATGTGGACATGACTGCTGAGCCTGAAGAGGCCAGAAGAGGGCGTCAGATGCCCTGGAGCTAGACTGTTGTGAGCTGCCCAAGCAGGGGGTTGGGAACCAAACTTGGGTCCTCTGCAACAGCAATACTCACTCTTTATGGCTGAGCTGGCTCCCCACCCTTCTGAGCTCCTTCAACATGTGTAAAACTGTATAATCACCGAAGGTCCTAATCCTTCTCATGCGTCACTGCTGACAATTTTGGGCTTCGGGCTCCCCTTTCCTACATCCTACACTTCTATTTTTTTTGAGGTTTATTTTGTTTTTCTAATGCCGAGGATTGAACCCCATGCCTCATGTATGCTAGGCAAGCACCCCACATTGAGATCCAGCCTCTGCCATCTTGTTAGTCTTGAGATAAGAGCTCACTGAGGGGCCAAAGCCAGCTTTAAACTTACTACCCTCCCGCCTCAGCCTCCCCTATAGCTGGGATTATAGAGCCTGTGCTCCCAAGCCTGGTGCCCCGCTGTTTTCATTGCCTGATCATGCAAGACGAGGTGTGTTTTTAAGAACGCATGTTAAGCGTTGGGGCAGAACTGACTTCATCATGATTTCCGCTTTACTGTTGAGAAAAGTGACACCAAAAGGTTAACGTGACTTGCTGTCCCCTGGCACGGCGCCTGCATGTTAACGATGTGAATGATGCAAATACTGGCTAACATTTCTCAAAGCCTGTGATGAGTCAGGCGGAGGGGTAGGCACTTAGAAAGATCCATTTTGGAGCTGTAATCAGCACCCAAATCTCATAGCTGAGGAGACAGGCTCTGAACGTTACAGGAGCTGGAGGGAACAATGGGGCAGAAGTCACAAGCCCTGGTGCAGGCAGTCTGCGGTCCTGGAGACTGAAGCTGGGGGATTCCCGGGGGAGGGGGATGTAGGAGCCACTCAGCCCTCTCAGGAGTTACACCAGCCAAAGGAGAGACCCTGAAATAGAGCCAGTTCCTGCCACAAGGGGCTGAACCTGCAGCAGCAGCACTGAGAGACAGCCACGGCCAACCAGAGTCAGCAGCCAGGTTGGCATTCCCACGCCAACCTCAGAGGGAAAACCCAGCTGCCACATCTGATCATTATAGGAGAAATCAGGAACGTGGCTTCTTCTTCTTTTTAAACGAGAGCTCTTCTGATATTTAAAAGAGCCCACAATTTCAAAACACAAACGGATTTGCGGACGGGAGTTGACTCTCTGCCAGTTTGGAATTTAATCCCTAAACCATTAGCCTGAAGCCTTCGGTCAAAGAAGCAACAGTGGCGTCAGGTGTCACCACACCCTGGCCACATCCAAACCCTTCCCTGGCCACAGCACATCCATGGGGCCCTTCCCTGCCAGGCCGTGTACCGCTGCCCCTGTGCCCTGCCCCTCACTCACTGCTTGATGCTGTTGATGGCGTAGCTCTTCCCCAGACAATGGTTGTAGCCTGCGCCCCATGGCATGTTGTAATTCTTCAGCCGCTTCCCGTCTTTGTAAAAATCTTTCTTCTCTGTTCCATCTGGGTTCAAGAATCGATTGTATTTAAATACCTGGAACAAGAAGGTGACGTGTAATGTCACCCCACACAAGCCTGTGCCAGGACAAAGGACTGGGCATCTGATTCGAGACTTGGCGAAAACTGATGGGAAGTGAGTGGGCGGGGGCTTGGTTAAGGGACTGTGCCGGGCCGACGCCTCAGTTGTTCAGTCCCCCTGCCCACTCCCCCAGCACCATCCCACAGTCCCTGGGCTATCCAGCCCTGACCCTGCTCCTAACCTCAGGGTCCGTGTAGATTTCTGGGTCCTTCTGGGGACTCAGGAAAGGAAAGAGGAGAAGGCGGTCACCATGTCGAAGAGAGAACTCCCTCCCGTCTGCCATAGGCAAGGCCAGGTCCGCCATGACCTCTCGGGTGATGAAGGGGGCAGCCGTGAGCCGGAGGGTCTCATTTAGCACGCTGTCTGCAAGGGCGAGAGGAGGGAGGGTCAGCAGGCTGCCCTCTCGCCTAGACAGCCCTTCCTGTTCTTGCTTAACAGAGCGAGGGTGCACATCTTGCACACAGTCCCATGGCATTGTGGGAAGAGCCAGATGACAAAGCGTGCACTCTGTGGCCCCTGAGGAACCCTTGGGTGTGAGGGAAGAGGAGAAATTGGGAGCCACAGGGATCTCAGGCAGCTAGGGGGAGTTTAGGGTCTTAGTGTGTAGCGCAGTGCACATTCCCTTCTGGGAACAGTCCCCTGGCCTTCCTCTAGGGATCACACCGCCACCCCCCACCCCCCCGTTTTCAGAAGTTGGGCTGTTGATTTACTCTAAGCTGGTGGTTCCATTGGCTTTACTGGCCAATCAGAACACCCCTCTGAGCCCCGTGATTGGTTCTGGGTGGGTATAGAACCCAAAAAGCCAATGAACACATTCCTGAGATTTTACATAGGAACGCTGAGTGAGAGACCCATCCTGCCTCCAGAGACCAGGGGCACCCCCGGTGGCAAATGGAGCTGAAGGATGGAGACACTAAACCCTGGGGACACCTCCTCAAGCACCCGGATTCCCCTGAGCCTGAAGCTAGAGACCTCCAGGCTTTCGGTTGCATGCCTTGAATTGAGCCTCTTTCTTTTCCACTCTAGCTACTTCAGGTTCTCTTTCACTCAATACCAAAAATCTCTTGTGACTCAGAGTCTTGGGTAGCTACCACTGAGCATGAATCATGAGGGACCCTTGGAGGACTTTGGGGGACCCACGATGCTCAGGTTTGACTGTCCTACCTAGCACAGGCATGCTGTCTAGAATCTTCTGTGGGAGTGTGGTCATCTGTGCGACAGGCTGCTCTGCTTGCCAGACGATGCGTTTCAGCTCTGCGTGGACGGCAGCGAGGGCTTCCGGATTCTTGAGCAGGAAGAGAAGGAGCCAGAAAGCCGTGGGACCCATATTCCCCTGCAACAAGGAGACACCTGTTACTCCATCAGGATGACCAAGGGGCTCCTGTGAGACGGATGCAGGCTGAGCCTCGGTGCAGCGCTCAGCACGCCTCGTCCCCACACCGGCCAGGCGTCACCAGTGTCTTCAGCCCCAGACTGTGGGCTGAGCTTTGGCTGAGTCTGGCATCCTGACCTTGAGCGAAGCCTCTGATTCGGGGTCATAATGGCAGCCTCTGTAACTCACCAGGGCAAGTACGTGAGAGGAACAAGACCTCAAGACAACACTGAGAATGTCTGAGAGTGACTGCATTTGGGGCCTCACGCCTCCTCCAGTTCCTCTAAAGTTTCCACAGAGGAGGCGGAGTATAGAGTATACTGAGCCCTTGAAATTAAGCTCAGCCATGGTCTTGCTTTGACTGACACGTAGCATGAGGCTCCAAGCAGCTTTGGGCCACCGTCTGGGGCTGAAGATACTGGTGACACCTGGGTGCTTGGCCAGCGTGGGAACCAGGCGTGCTGTGCTGAGATCTAAGCACTGGTCTTCAGAGACTGTGCCTTTGGGTCTAGGATGAGTGATACGGAGGGTACTGCTAAATGGCCCCAGCGAGGCCTGTTTAGACCAACCAGATCTAAAGACACGTGAGCTCGATGAATGTCTATCAGCCCAGGCTTCTGGGTTTAACTAGCTGATAACAACAGCTATTCATAGTCAGGAAAACAAAATTTCCTTCCACACTTCTTGTGTAACAGCTCATTCTCTTGAAGAAGAAGCAGGGGGCCAGTGACAGGCTGTTAACTTTTGAGCAAAAATTATTTGAATCGTCCCAAAAGGTAAGCTAGGAAAACCAATGACATGGTGTGCTCCAAGACCGGCTCAGACCAGGCTGAACACCTTCACCCGGCTCCTCGGGGCCTTTCAGCGGCGCAGACATGGCTGGGAGGCTTTGTCTGTCCTAAGTGCGACTGCATTCACGGACGCAAGCATCGTCATTAGGCATCATCTTTCCCAACAAGGTCTTCACAGACATGATTGCACCAGGCAGAGGACACAAATTGCAGCCCTAATATAGCACCCGCAAATCAGGAATAAGCTGTGAGGAGAATGATGGCCTAGCAGTGAAACTAGACGGTGGGAAGTTGTCGAAAGAAAGAAAGGAAGGAAGGAAGGAAGAAAGAAAGAAAGAAAGAAAGAAAGAAAGAAAGAAAGAAAGAAAGAAAGAAAGAAAGAAAGAAAGAAAGAAAGAAAGAAAGAAAGAAAATCCCAGTTCCTTCCAGGCTGGCAGACACACAGAGGCAGGCAGGCTGCAGGCTGTGGGGGGCGATGGGGTTCGTCCAGCTGCCCCTGTGTGCGCTTGGAGAGGGGAAGAAAATTATCCTGAGGAGATGCAGGAACCGGTCCCGAAGTCACCTGTGGTGGGGCAGAGGCTGGGGGGCCGGGCGGTTGAGGTGGCACACTGAACTTTCTGTGTATGTGTGTTGGGGGAGGGGCGTGTGGCTATGTTCACACGTGGAAGCCAAATGGACAACCTCCGCTGCCCTTCCTCAGCTGCTGCCCGGCTTGGTTTTAAAGACGGGGAGATAGTCTTGACAGGTAGGCTAGGCTGGCTGGCCAGCAAGCCCGGGGATCTAACTGCCTCATCAGGCCAGTGCTGTGGTCGCCAACGTGTGCCCCAAGCCTGGCTTTTTTTTTTTTTTTTTTTTTGTAACATGGGCTCTTCGGGTCTTGCTTAGGTCCTCATGCTAGGCAAGCCCTTTACAAATGAAGTCCCCTCCCAGCCGCTGCCCCAGCCTCAGACAGACTTTCTTGGCACTCACACAGCTTCCAACCCGGTTGAATTTGCTTTGTTCTTTTGTCTTTTTTTAACTTCTTCTTTTGGAGCTTAGACAGTACATCCTCTTTTCAAAACTGCCCCCCACATTCCTTTCTCTCTTTCAAATCCGTGGTCTTTCTTTTTTTAATTTCGTATTTTTCATTTCTTTTGTTTTTTGTTTTTGTTTTTTTGTTTTTTTTTCTTCAAAACAAGCTCTCTCTATGTATCCCTGGCTGACTTAGAACTTGATGTGAAGACCAGACTGGCCTCCAATAGCCACGGAGTTTCGCCTGAATCTACCCACACAGTGCTGGCACTAAAGGTATGTGCCCCCACACATGGCCTGGCTGGGTCTCCTACCGGATGTGCTGCAGGGGTGCGACACCGCTTTCACGGCGATGAGCCACATCGTCCAGGTTGTTCACGGTATGATATGAAATCGAGTGGAAAGCTGGACGCAATCAAACGCATGGCCTTAGCGGCCTCCTGCCAACTACACGGCACGTGCGCTAAACACATGTGCACCCTGGATTTCTCCATGGGGTCTAGGGTCAGTTTGCTTCTGAAAGACTTTCTGGTCTTGCTTGTCTGGTGGCCAGGCTGCAGACAGAGGCAGTAGTGAAACAGGAGGAGGCCGTGGGAAGGTGGGTAGGGGGGGGGGGGGGGAGCCAATTAGCTCCCTGTCACCAGGGTCCCTCGGGGGCAGTGGGTGCCTGAGGCCGAGAGCCAGCCTGTCCCAGCTCTTCAGGGACCTCCAGACATCTCCCTCTGCCCCCCATACACCCCAGCCTTGAAAACCATCTCTTCCCCAGCCTGGCCCTTAGATCTCAGTCTGCAGGAGCTGCCTCCTCCTCCCCTATCAGTCTGCTCCTAGCCCTGGGGCTCCAGTTTCATCCAGCTTTGAGAGGATCCAGAGGATATTCACAGAGGGCTCAAAAGGATGCTTGGCCCCAAGCACAGCTCAGTGTCACTTGACGTCACTACTCGTGACTCAGGGCCTCTGATCTGCAATGGCCACCACAGCCTCGGTGCCCCAACCTGGCAGCCTCTACCCACTCCTCACCTGCCTCCCACTTTCTCTACTGGTCCCCGCCACCTCCTCACTGTCCCTCCAGGTCTCCTTGGCTGGCTCCCAGACTTTCCTGTCCTTCTCCCTGGAGAGTCCTTGAGTTGCAACCTCACCCCCAGTGCAATGGCATTAACTGCCATCCGTCCACCGTTGGGTCCACCGGTCTGTCTCTGGCCTACAATCTGACCCTGAGCTCTCACCGGCCTTGATTGCTCCTCCCGCCATCTTCCCCAGACGTTAACCGCCCTTTCACCTTCCCTGACTTGCTGATACTGTCTCCCAGCCTTGCACCTGCCAGGAGAGACTCCCAGAACCTGCCCCCTCTGCCTCACCCTCCTCCCCACCTCCTCTGGCCTAGAGACTGTGGTTCCCCTGCCTCCACTTCCCCTCTAAAGCACATCAGGCCACACTCCAGTGCCACGAAGAGCCCCAAAGGGCACCGCCTCACTTGGCATGAAGCCCCCTCCTGCCCACGAGGTCCCGAGGGCTTCTGGGACACTTGCTAACTCTCTGAGCATCACCCTCACGCCCACCTCAGCTTTGCACCTACTTTCTCTGCCGGGAACTCTCATTGCAGAGACCCCCCCCCCCATGGTGGCTCACCTCAAGTCTCTGCTCAGAGACTCAGATGTCACCTACCCATGGAGGTCTCTCTCTCTACCAACTCTCTCTAGTGACCTCACAAACTCACCCATCCACTAACTGTGCTCTTCCCCGCCGGAATCTTGCTCTGCAGATGAGAACTCTCATCTGCCCCGCCTACCGCTCTATACCTGGTTTCTAGAATGAGGCCATGCACACATGGGGCTGGAAAGCTTGTCTGTTGCTGATGTTTCTTTTGGTCTGGTTTTGGAGATGACATCTAATGTATCCCAGGCCAGCCTCAAACTCCCTAGGGAGGAGAGGGTGACCTTGAACTTGTGATCCTCCTGCCTCTGCCACTCAAGTGCCAGGATGGCAGGCGTGCACAGTAGGCCTGAGCTCCTTTCACTGCCCCACCATGCCCCAAGGAAGGGGATGCATTGCTAATGTATAGGTGGGTAAACTGAGGCACTGCAGGGTGTGGTGACTGACTTGCTAGAAAGTGAAAGCCACTTCAGACCCAGACAGGCAGGCCCCACACCTTGTGTCTAGAGGTGCTGGAGCACAGCAGCCTGCCCTGCTCTCATGACCCAGGGTCCTCCAGACTCCTCTGCTGGGGGAACCTGTCCCCACGCTTAGCCCTGCCTGAGGCTGTTCCCTGGGAGCTGCCTCTCAGGTGCCTGGACAACTTCCGACTTCCGGACAGAGGTCATTTCCACAGGGGGCTCTGAGGACACTGTGGAGCACCCTGTCCTCTTAGCCCATAAATATGTTATCAGGCATGCAGAGGGCCAGCTGCTGATTAAGACCTGCCCTGCTCCTGCCAGGCAGAACAGCTAATAGCTCTGAGGACAACTAAAAATAAGTTGCCAGTCGATGGAGAGGAATCACCCAGGGACATCAGGGCTGTGCAACAGTCACTGCCAAGTGGGGCCGAGAGAAGGCAAGCGACTGGGCGGAGGGAGAGCAGTGACCAGGCCTGACTCGCAGAAGCCAAGCAATGGCTCCTTTCCTCATGTCAACACTTGCTCTGTGACCAGAGTCGCTGGTTGCCATCTTAGTTCCTCATATCCGGCTGATTCTCCAATATCTCAGAGGCCACCAGGGCTTCTTCACCGCTGAGCTGTTCCTGAATCTTAAGAGGACTGTGTCCTCTCTCTCTCTCAAACACATGTGTGCTCACGATTTCTCAGTTCTTCAAACCCTAATGGATAGCTGGCTGCCATATTTGGGGAGGGAGAGGTTTATCCTTGGAGGAAGTAAGTAGTTCATGCTACCCTGGCCAGGTTGGTCTGTGCCTAGCTCCACCCCTGCCCTGCTTGCCAGCTCAGCCATAAAAAGACACCTGAGCCCATCTCTTGCTGCAGAAGACGCTGGGGTTAGCAGCATGAAGCTGAATTTCAGTGGCCTGAGGGCCCTGGTCACAGGAGCAGGGAAAGGTGAGTGTGAGCGGGTTGGGAAGATGGCCTCCTTCTCCTGGGGAGAAGGAGGAGGACAGCCTCAACACCGAACAGGGGTCCAAGGTGACCTGTCACAGCTCAGCCCTCCAGAACCTGACTCCTGCTGGCTAGGACTGACAGGCTTATGACACACAGCTGCAGACCTACTAGGACAGAATGGTAAGCCCAGCCTGGCCATACAATACCCTAGATGGGTGAAATTAACTTGCTGCAGGATAGCACCCAGATCCTAGCTGGGCACCAGGGCAGCCCTCCCTGGGCCTCATCAGGAGCCAGCTGCCCTCCAGTCTTCACTTCTGCCTGGGATCCTGACCCTTGCTGTGAGCAGGCATATATGGGGCCCTTGTGTCTATAGGGATTGGGCGTGACACTGTTAAAGCCCTGCATGCCTCAGGAGCCAGAGTGGTGACTCGCACCAACGCAGACCTGGTCAGCCTTGCCAAAGAGGTAAGGCACGCAGCCTGCCTGACCTGGGCCTGCTCCGAGCCCTAAGGGATCATCAGGAGGGGGCTGGAACAGTGCCTCAGCTACCAAACACCGTCACCCACAGTGTCCCGGGATAGAGCCGGTGTGTGTGGACCTGGGTGACTGGGAGGCCACAGAGAAGGCGCTGGGCGGTGTTGGCCCCGTGGACCTGCTGGTGAACAACGCAGCAGTACTTATCGCCCAGCCTTTCCTGGAGGTCACCAAGGAAGCCTTTGACAGGTGGGCACTGGGGAGAGCGGCCAGTTCTTAAGGGAATCTTAAGATCTCAGAAGCCAATACTGGAGAGATGGCTCAGAGGTTAAGAACACTCACTGTTCCTTCAGAGGACTTGAGTTCAATTCCCAACACCCACATGGCAGCTCACAACCATCTGTTAACTCCAGTCACAGGGCATCCGGTGCCCTCTATTGGCCTCCTAGGCACGAGGTACACAGATGGCATGCACACACCCTAAAATTAAATAAATCTTCAAAATAAAATTTTGGTTTTTCAAGACAGGGTTTCTCTGTGTAGCCCTAGCTGTCCTGGAACTCACTGTGCAAACCAGGCTGTCCTGGAACTCAGAGATCCGCCTGCCTCTGCCTCCTGCATGCTGGGATTAAAGGTATGAGCCACCACTGCCTGGATTAAACCATTTTCTTAACAATGATAATAATAATAAAAATCTCAGAAGCCTCCCAGGCCTCACCTCTCCCAGGGGAGATTCCGAGCCATCATATACTCTTCCTTTGGTGTGCTTACTCACCTGGCTTCAGCCACAGGCAGCTCCTTGCTATAGCCCCATCCCTTGGCAGGCTCCAACCCCAAGACCTTCGAACTTGCTGTCTCTCTGCCTAGAATCTTTCCAAATTCCCAGATCTCTGAGGCTAGCTTCCTCGACACACAGAGGCAGCTCAGCCTTCCAGAGAGGCCTCCCTGAGCCTCCAGCTATGACTTCCAGGACGGTTCCCATGCCATCCCTGCTTCCCACCACACATCCACCACCACCCACCCAGCCACTGAACGTGTTTCCTGGACCTCCGCTCCCTGCCCTGGCCTGCCTGAAATGTCCCCAGAAGGACCTGCTGCACGGACTCAGAGCAGTGATTCTCAGAATCTCTGGTCTGCATACTTCAAAAACAAAAATTAAAAAAAAAAAAGTCAAGGTCATGGGAAACAGTGAAAAGAATAGAACACCAGAAGAATGGAAACTGGAGAGGCAGAATGGCTTGGTGCCACACAGGAAGCTGACGCAGAGGCCGGGGCCAAGATGGTCCTGAAGTGGCTCTGATGGTTCTCCTCAACTGTCCACTTGAGATCTAGAATGGCCCAAGAGGCCGGCCTCTCACACACCTGTGAGGATAGTCTTGCCTTAATCAAGGTGGGAACCACTCTCTTGGTGGCTCCGCTCCCAGGCTGGCTCCCGCACTGGGTAAGGGGACAGGAGAGCTGAGCGTCAACTCTGGTCACAGCTGTCTCAAGCTCCCGCCGCCATGACTTTCCCACAGTGATGGACTGGACCCTGGCACTGTGACGTAAAACACACTCTCCCTGCCTGAAGAAGCTATGGTCAGGGTATTCCATCCCAGCAACAGGAAAGTTACCAAGACAGGCACAGCTGGGATGACTATGAGACGCAGATTAGACCATGATCATCGGGCTGGGCTAGGCCTCCTACTTTGGCATCAGGCTGTGGTCATGCAGAACGTTCTTGCTCCTTGGAGATGTTCTGACGTGAGTAGAGGGGAAGAGTTGGGCTATCTGCAACTTAGCCACAAACGGGACAAAAAAAATCACAGCGGGAGAGGGAAAAAGAAAGGGACTGAAGTGGGAGAGGCCGGAGAACCAGGACGGCATGGTACAGGAGTTCTTTCAACTACATATAAAGTTTCCAGGGTCCGAAGGCAAAGCCTTCCCAGCATGCACAAGGCTCTCATCCATCCCAGCCCCATATAAACCAGGCATGCTGGCACATATCTGTAATCCCAGCATTAGGGAGGGGGAGGAAGGAAGATTACATGCTCAAGGTCATCCTTGGCTGCACGGCAAGTTTGAGGCCAGCCTGGGCTACATGAGACGCAGTTTTCTATCACTCAGCCATTTTTCCATATGTTACATGAGCTAGCCTATCATATGGACCACCTGTTTATGAAGGCTGGCCAGGAGAAAGAGTCGAGGGTCGGGGCGGCCTGAAGACTGTGTGCTCACGTCTTCACCTGCTCACACCTGCACCTGCAAGCGAGCCGCACGCCTACACAAGCACACCCACCTGTGTGGCCCAGAGCTGCAGCACGAGGGCCCGGGCCTGCATGTCCTCCGACACCCCCATCTCCTCCAGGTGCCTCAGGTAACTCTCCAGCCAGCTGCTCCTGTCAGCTCTGGTGGCCATCCTGGCTGGGGACAGCAGCTTCCACAGGCGGTCTTTGACACTGCTTGCATGGTCTTTATCCCCTGCAAGAACAGAGCACAGAAGAGGAAGGTATGGTCACCTCTGAGACAAAGCCACAGTCGTTCTGGGGGTTTACTGGTGGGAAAGCTTGGGGTAAAGGCCTGTTAAGAGTGGCCAGGGGTCCATGTCACTTAGCAGAAAGGCATAGGGCCTGTTCCTTTGAGAGAGTGTGTCTCCATAGCAAGAACCCACTAGAGATTTGATGAATGTAGGGGATTTATGGGGCCATTTAGAAGAACCACACTTGAGGAAACAGCCTCCCTCCCCAGGACCTAGCTCAGAGCAAGGCCAGACCATCGACGTCAGACAAAGGGGCACAGCGTACCAGGAAGAACCACACTGGCCATCGGTGAGGGGCACAGATCTGGGGTCTCCACTCAACTTCCTCTAGGCCAGAGGGGTAAGGTTAGCAGAGAAAGAGACCTGAGCAGGCTGTGTAGACCTGAGGAGACGGGAGACATCCAGGCCACTCCAACCCACCCTCAGGCATAGTGGAGCAAGAGGCTTCACTCAGGCACGCTCGTGTTTTCTAAGGAAGCTGAGAGTCTGGGCTGGGCAGTGGTGGTGCACACCTTTAACGGAAGCACTCAGGAGGCAGAGGCAGGGGAATCTCTGAGTTTGAGGCCCGTCTGGGCATGAGCAGGCGTAGGAGAAGTCCTTTGCCGACAGGACAAAGCCATGAACCGAGAGTTGACAGAGCACCACCGCTGATGGTGGTCTGAAAGCTACTCGAAAAGACGGGGTTACTGACACGAATGCTACACAGGGAGCAGCCCCGTCCGTCTGTCACATCCCCCAGGGACGCCACAGTGGTTGGCATCGCCCGGCAACACTTTTCTGGGAGCTACTCTCATCTTCACTCCCCACCTCACAGCATACGAACTAACACGAGGTTTCATGGTCTCCAAAGTTCCCCCTGGGGAAAGTGGGAGCCAGGGGTTGCTAGAAATGCCCTTACTGTACATCAGGTGACTTGGCCGATAGACTGAGACCAGGCAGCTGGTCCCAGGAGCTTGGGAGGATGGAGGGTGTGGCTAAGCCCAGGCTTCCTTAATGTTTCTGAAGTTGGCTGGCAACACTTTCAGACAATGGGCTCAGCCTCTTGATATCATTTCGGGTGATGCAGCACTCCTGATTTAAAGGATTGGGCCTACGGGCCCATGGGAAGCACACCGCTTTCCTGGGTCTCCCAGTGTGGTGGCTTCTTGAGAGCTCACAGTGTCCTGGGAGCCGGGGCCCCAGCCAGGTTGACTGTGACAGAAGCCCCAGGTGAGATCAGCATCTGGAGATTTTAAAAAGCCACCAAGGGACACAGGCGGTCACAGCATCACTCCCCACCCCTGCGATGTCCCCGATGTCCCCAATGTCCCCTGACCAGATAGCCCGAAAAGACGCAAAGAGCTCAACACAGCCACAGAAATGTCTGACTGTCCCGGAAGCCCGAGGTTACAATTGCAATCTCTTCTTGTGCAGTCATCATGGTGTGTGTGTGTGTGTATGTAAGAGAGAGAAAGAGACCACAGATCGATATTGGGCATCTTTCTCTATTTCAGTTGTTCTCAACCTTCCTAATGCTGCGACCCTTTAATGCAGTCCCTCATGCTGTGCGGACCCCATAAAATTATTTCGTTGCTGCTTCATAACTGTCATTTTGTAATTGTTATGAATATCGTAATGTAAATATCTGTGTTTCCCGATGGTTTTAGATGGTCCAACCCCACCAGAGGGGCCACAGCCCACAGGCTGGGAACTGCTCTGTCGCTTTCCACCTTATTTTTTGAGGTGAGGTCTCTCACTGAACCTATAACCTGCCCTTTTAGCTGCACTGGCTGGCCAGGGAACCCCAGAGCATCCCACTCCCCAGCGCTGGGCTTACAGGCACACACCACCACAGTGCTCAGTGCTGGGCTTACAGGCGCACATCACCACACTGAACTTCCGCTCAGGTGCCGGAGATCCAAATCAGGTCCTCATGCCCTGACATCAAGTGCTCTACCTGCTGAGCCACTTTCCCAGCTCCGGATTACTATAACAACTAAAAGCACCTCAGGGCGGTCTGTCCCATCCCTGTGCCCCGAACAGTTGTGAGAACGGACAAGGCGACCCGGATCCGGGAGCCACAGAAGCCTGCATTGCATGGCTCTGAGTGAGGCTTAGCTCGTCCTCTGGGCCTCAGTCACGCTCTTATTCACAGAGTGAGGCTCCAGCCGTGTACACACGAGCCTCTCCCTCTAAGCCCAGAGATGGCCGGGTGGAGGTGAGCTGTGAACGCTTGGTGTGTTACCTGAGGGCCACACTGTGACTCTTTCTGTACAGGCCTCCTGTGGGGTGTGGTGGCACAAACCTGTCATCCCAGCACTCGAGAGACAGAGGCGAGAGGCTCACTAGTGTGAGGCCAGCCTGGGCTACAAAGTGAGCTCTCAGCCACCTTGGCCTGCACAGCAAGACTATCTCCCAAACTCCTTCGCAAAAGCCCTTTTCCATTAAAAAATAAAAAAAGAAAGAAAAAGAAAAAAAAATATTCAAATAAAACAAACAAACCGTCTTGTTCCTGCACAAGACTCCTGAGGCCTTAGATGGTCAGCTTTTCTTTCACGTGTATGTTTTGGCAACATGAAGACATTTATATTTGAAATATACTTGAAAAGATGGAAAATTTCACATATACACAGGGCACACTAAGAGAAAAAAAGCCAGTGAGTGCATGCCTGTGATTCTAGCACTCAGTCGTGGAGGCAGGGACATTGGAAGTTCAAAGTCCTTCTTGGCTACCTAGTGAGTTTGAGACCAACCTGGGCTACAAGAGATCCTGACCGAAAATTAAAAAATATATATACATACATATATAATTTTATATTATATAATTTTATATACCTAATATATAATTATATTTATATTATATATAATATTTTATATTTTATAAATATGCAACATATTCAGTATATATATATACATATACATATCTTATTTTATTTATTTATTTATTTATTTTTGAGGACGAGAACAAGGAGGCAATTCCCTAAGTACCTAAGCGTTCACACTGGGTGTGTAAGAATTCATTTTCTTTCTGCCTCATCTCAATCCTCGAAGGCAAAAATCTGAACACATCACTGCCACATCTGGACCAAGGTGGTTCCGGCCAATGTCCTGCGCCTTGGTCTCCAGCCACCGTGGGTTTCTTCCCCTTCTGTTCCTCTCCTATGCTGCTCTCATACGGTGCGGTTTAATCAGCCCCTTCTCTGGTGCCGGTCACTTCTAGTCCGGCTGTCACAGGTAAGTGATCATGTGTATCCTTGTCTGCCACCATCTGTGAGTGTTTCTGTAGGATGTTTTGCCAGTTGGTTTTCGGTGCACGCCCCACACAAGGGCTGGGAACCTGAGGGCAACTGTCCGACACTGCCACCTGCTGCTAGCTCTGGGAAATGCAGCCTCTCATGGCTGCGTCCTCTGCATCACTAGGCTCCCATGGAGGAAGGGACAGTGAGGAAACGCCAGCTTTTTCTGGAGAGGCAACTGGTGCCGGGATGGGACACAAGTTTAGCATGAGGGACTTTGCAATCAGACAAAGTGTGCCTGCTCTGCCACCCACCTGCTGCCCCCGTGACATGGGATTCGCCCTGCAAGCCTCCGTTTTTTCTGCCTACAAAGAGGGACCCTGCAAACGTCAGACCCCCGGGACCACGTTAGACTGTGCGGACACCTCACAGAAAGAGCACACAGAGGCTGGAGAAGCCAAACGGCGCCTCAGCACCCCTGGCAGGGAGGTAAGCAGGCTGCCTGCTGATGCCCTTCTCTGCCCTCCAGGCTGGCTAGAACTTAAAGACTAATGACTGTGCTTGACAATGCTGTGAAGAGACTCAAGCGAAAAGGAGAAGCTACCAGCCTCTACCCGGCAGACCAGCAAACCAACGGGAAGACAGGTGGCGACCCTGGCTAGGGTAGATGCCTCATCTCTGGGTGTGAATTGCTCCATTGCTGTGCACACCTGTAATCCTAGCTCTTAGGAGACTGAGACAGAAGGATCCCAAATTTAGGGCCAGCCCGGTCTACAGAGAGACCCTGTTTCAAAACAATAAAATGAAGCAGAAAGAAAATTTATTTTAAAAAAATCCTAAGGTGTATCTCAGATGTGAACACACCCAGCCTGGTTGGCGCTCAGAATAAAGTTGTCCTCAGAGAGCGATGATGCTAAGACCTCGGCCAACCCTAAATTCCTCATGGTGAGACCACAAAGATGCGGGGAGGTGGAGCCTGGAGTCTGTAGGCTCCCCTTCCCTTCTGCTGTGCTGTGTCACCATTCCAGGGGACAGAGAAGTGGCTGGATCAAAGCCACCAGCAGAGAAGGGATTCCAGAACACACGGCTCTGCTTCGCTCCTTGATGGGCTCCTGTCAAATGGCTTGGTCTCCTCCAGAGCTCTGAATCCAAATGGACCGCCGTGGATGTGAAATGTGTCTCTAACAGGCTCGTGTACGGAAGGCTTGGTCCTCAGCTCGTGGGACCATGGAGAGACAGCTAGACTGTGAGGATACTAGCCTCACGGATGGGTTAATGGCCAGATGAGTTTATAGCAGGAAAGGGCTATTGGGAGCAAGGGCCTGGAGGCAGCGGGTCATGGGCTGTGCCTTTGAAGGGTATATCTCTCCCCTTGACCCTTCCTCCAGCTTTCTCCACTTCCTGGCCGTCACGAGGCGAGCAACCTTCTCTGCTGAGTACCTGCTGCCCCGTCATGTTCAGACACACCACAGGCCCACAGCAATGGAGACCTCTGAAACCAGGAGCCAAAATGCATCCTTCCACCTTTAAAGTGCTTTCCTTGGAGATTTTATCACAGCAAGGGTTTCACTGCTCCTTTTATATCAATTAATTAATTAATTAATTTTTGGTTGTCTGGGACAGGGTTTCTCTCTGTAGCCTTGAGTGTCCTGGAGCTTGCTTTGTAGATCAGGCTGGCCTCGAACCCACAGACATCTGCCTGCCACTGCCTCCCAAGAGCGTGTGCCACCACGCCTGGCTCTTGTTGCTTCTTGAAGGAAAAAAAAAAAAAAAGACCATCCAGTCTGTGCATGGGACCCAACCACTCATTTCTGCTGTGACCTCATGGTGCTTACCCACTGACAGGGAGCCTCGAGCCAGTTTGGGGAGCAGCAGGTCCAGCTGGCGGAAGGTGTGGAAGACATCAGCCGAGTGGACGCGGTCTTGAGCTTGGCTCTCCTGGGTGCGTGGCGAGGCCTCCACTCCATACAGGGTCAGGTAGCCGGCTCTGTGGCGACAGCAACAGGTCAGGCCCTGTACTCAGTTCCTACCCTGCCTATTCCCCTCAGCGTGTCCTGGAAATGTAAGATGAAATAAGCCCTTTCTGCCCAAGTTGCTTTTAGTCGGAGAGCTTTATCACAGCAACAGAATGAAACATGTCACCCCGCCTTTCCTACGCTCCCCCAGTCAGGGGTCTCCTGGGAGAGGGTTTTTCAAGAAGGGAGAAGGGAAACAAGAACAAGGTAGGATGAGCCTGAGACAAACATGCCTATCCCCCATCCCCACCCCACCCCTCACCATCTCACCCACACCGTGCTTGCAGCCTTAGGCCTGCAATGAATGCTGGGTCAGTGGTGGAGGCGGGGTAGGAAGGCTGACGGAGGAACAGGGAGTGGGTGGATAGTTGGATGCAGGGCCGTGGTGCAGGAATGTGTATGGATGAGTGGATCGATGGGTACATGGATGGGGAGTAGGATAGCGGACCGGCGGATGGATGGATGAATGGATGGAGAGTGGGTGGATGTGGGAGTGGCGGATGGCTGGGTGTTAGGATGGCTGGAAGGATAGACAGATAGATAGAACACACTCCTGAAGAGTCTGGTGACGGGCCATGACGAGTTTGTCTGACAGGAGCTGTCCAGCCCACTTCTCTCTTCAGTCCAGCCCAGTGTCTGTGTGGAGACAAATCCGTGGGGTAAGAGACTCACACCCACTCTTTCCTCTGGGCTAAGAAGAAGCCCGCTTCTCCTTAAGAACAGCTAGGGGTCAGAGGCCAAGGTCAGCCTTCCCCACACTTCCACTTGGAAGGTTCTCTTCCTTCCCTCTCCTAACTACTCCGGGCAGATGTGGGGAAGGCATAGCCCAGGAATGTTAAGTCAGCTCCTGCATGAGCTTACGTGGATCCAGAAGGCCACTAGGTGGCGCTCTGTGCCATAAAACCAAAAGGGAGCACTGTGCAGGGTGCTGCGTGTTGCCAGGGAGCCAAGGAGGCCAGAGTGGATGCGACTGTGAGGGAAGGTCACCACAGGGCATGCTGGGAGCTTCAGGTGGTGATGCCCCACAGATTGGGCCAGATGGACCATCACCTCATATCTGCCTCCTCCCTGAATCCTACACTCAGGTAACTGCAAAGACCCAGGACATCAAGCCTGCTGGAGGCAGATGCTCAGGCCAGACCCAGACCCTGGGGCTCTCCTCATGCTGGTGGCTACCTGCCCCTTCCCAAGACACCACTCCACCTCAAGATCTTGTTTTTTTAAGGGTGCTACCAACCGTTGAGGTACACAGTCCCCCCACCCTCCCTTGCTGTCAAAAGCCCTCGGTGGGTCCCGCCAACCGTGTATTCTTTTCCCTCTCCCAGGTCCAGATTATCACTGCAACCAACCTAGGCTGACTACACACGAGTCCTAGTGGGTCTCCCTGCCTGGTTCTCCCCTACAGATGTCCTCTACGCAGGAACGGACATTAGGTTTCTAAGTCCCTAAAGGACCACCATCCAGCTGAGCACACATTCCAAAGCCTTCCCGCAGCAGCCCGTGAGGCCAGCTTCTGCAGGCATCTCCACCCCTCCTCCCCTCTTCCACTCACCCCTCTGCTCTGGCCACCCTGGCCCCCTCATGCCGCTCCTTCCCACCCCGGGACTTGGCACTCGCTGTCTCCTTACCAAGGTCTTGGCACCGAAGGCACCCCACAGCCCTGCAGCGAGACCCCAGCGCTGAGGCTGAAAGCCCCTCCCCCAGATTTCCCATCTCTGGGTCTCTGCCTTCTCAGGCACAAGGGACTTGTCTGCTGTGTCCCTGCTCTGTCCCGAAAGACCGCTGAGAACCCAGCACTCAGGTGGCACTCGGCTGAGAAGAGGCTTCTACTACAGCTATGAGGCCTGACCTCAGGTCAGGCTCCCTGGTTTGCAGCTAGCGACTGCTTTACTACTCAAGCTGTGTGTGGTGAATTTGGGCTCCCACCTGATCCACCTGGTTCCCACATTCTGCCTTGAGCATCTTCCTTAGGGGTCTCCACCCCCACCCACCCACCCACAGGGTCCTCCCAGTTCCCTTGGCCATGACAAGGTTCACCTGAGTACAGAGTTGTAGGAGAACTCTAGAAGGCCTGTCTCTTGCCAACCACTGCCCGCTTCCGAGGAGCCACCCAGCAGGACGGTGCGGAGGTTGGTGTACATGGCTTCCGTGAGCGCCTGCAGGTCTCTGTGCATGAGCGTCCTGAGGCCAGTGACAGAAGATTATTAGCCACTTAATGTACTCAGGAAAAAAAAAAAAAAAAAAGGCTGCACGAATATCTGAGGAATAAGTTACCACGGAGGCGCTGTCTTACAGCGGAGAAACGAAGAGGGTGGCACCGGGACAAGGCAGCACAGCCAGGGACAGGTACAGCTGGGGCTAAAACCCTAGCTGGCCCCCACTCCACATTATGAGCTCTGGCCAGGACGGTCTGTCCTTGCGTGGTGCGCGGGCTTGGATAAGGGACACACAGACTTCTAGAGAAGGAGGCCAGCTCCTCTTCTGTGAAATCAGAGGGCTGCTAATACTACAACTCCAGATGGGCGGGGCATGGGACAAAGAGGAACTGGGCCCCTGACCCAGTCTCCTCATGTGTGGACCTGAGAGATGCAGTCTAGGGAAGCCTAGACCTCGTTCATGCTGACCAAAGCCTGGGGGGGCTGCTCAGAGCCCAGGGTGAGAGGCTCCATCCAAGCCACAAATAGCAGCAGGTGACTGGACTGGAGTGTCTAGGGGACAGTGCCTGTGGAACCTAGCGATGGCTACAAGGACCCTCAGGTGCGGGCCAGGCAGCTGTTCCAGTGCATTTGCTTTTTAACTGTCTCTCCTGGACAGTGGCTTCGGGCTCTGCTCGCTGCTTTTATGTCAGCTTGACACAGGTCAAGGAGGAGGTCACAATTGAGAAAATGTGGCTGTGGGCAAGCCTGTGGGGCATTTTCTTAATTAGTGATGGATAGAGGAGGACCCAGCCCATGGTGGGTGGTCCCATCCCTGGGCTGGTGGCCCTGGGTTCTATGAGAAAGCAGGCTGAGCAGGCCGTGAGAAGCAAGCCAGTAAGCAGCACCCTCCATGGCCTCTGCCTCTGCTCCTGCCTCCAGGTTCCTGCCCTGCTTGAGTTCCTGTCCTGACTTCCTCCCCTGATGAACAGCAATATGGAAGTGTAAGCCAAAAAAATCCTTTCCTTTCCAACTAGCTTTCGGTCATGGTGTTTCATCACAGCAGTAGTGAGCCTGACTAAGACAGCCAGGCACAATGGGATGTGGGGTTGAAGCCCCACCGGGGCCCACCCACAGACCCGTCTCAGCACTCACGGCTTCATCCTGGACTTCTCTTCGCTGGGGTTGAAGTTTGGAAGCTGCAGATCAAAAATCCTCTCCATGAGGAAGATGGCATAGGGGTGGAAGTCCAGCCGTGTACGCGGCTCCCACACCACTGTGTCATAGGAGTGTGGGTCCAGGAGGACAGTGACATACCTGCCCCCCACCAGCACCTGTCGGAGGAGTGGTTGGATGGGAACAATGGCAGGACTCTGCATCATTCAGGCAAGCACTGTGGGCAAGCCCTGGCCCAGCAGGCACTGGGCAGCAGTGTTTATCCTATAAGTAGGACTGCCACTCACCCATCTACCGTTTCAAAAATTAGGCCGGGAGAAGGGACAACATAGCCAAAATCTCCATGCTGAAAAGTAGCAGAGCTAAGACCGGCCAAAGCCTTCTAAAAGCAAAGGCTGTAGCCAGGCCTATAATCGCAGCTACTCAAGAGACGGAGGCAGAAGGATTCCAAGTTCAAGGGCTGGCTGGATCAGAGGGAATTCAAGGCCAACCTAGGTAATAGTAAAACCCTATCTCCAAATGAAAAAGGAGAAGGGGGCTGGGATATGAAAGTGAAAAGTGGTATGGCATTTGCCTAGCATGCATGAGGTTCCGGGTTCAATCCCCAGTGCCACAAAAAGGAAAAGGGTAAATGAGTGGATGGACATTGCTGGGCAAATGCCAGCAAACTAACTGTAGGTGAATAAGTGAGTCAGGCAGATGGATAAATAGATGGAGGTCGGAGAAATCAACTGAAGCAAATGGATGTATAGACGGAAAACAGGAAGGCAAGAGGAAGGAGAGAAAAGGAGGCATTAGGTGGGAACGGAAGGACAGATCAATGAATCCATTAGATGCATGGCTGCATGTTAGAATGTCGGGGACACGCGTGCCAAGATGCTTAAGTAGATCAAATAACGGCCTGAAGAATGAACGCTGGAGGGCTGCGAGCTGGAAGCATTCAAGAGTAAGGGGTGTTTGAATGGTGCTGAAGAGAGAGATGGATGATGGATAAGTGGGTAGGTGAATGGGCAGATGTATGGATGGGTGGGTGGATGGGTGGGCGGGTCGGTGGGTAGATGGATGGGGAGGGAATGTGGAGGGGGGGTGCATGAATACAGCAGTAGATGTGCAGAGAGTAGACCAGAGTCAGGTGCTGAATGGATAGATGATGAGCTTTGGGTGGACTATGGCAGATGGAGATAAAGGTAGGAAGATGAACGGAGGGAAGTCAGTGGAAATAAAATCTAGGGACGGAAGCTGAACGGGTGTTAGGTCAACGAGTGGAAGAATGCTGCGTGAATTCTGATTGGTAGATAGAGGCTAGAGAGTGGTTAAGAGCACAGGCTACTCCTCTAGAGGAACTAAGTTTGGCTCCCAGCACCCACGTGGTAGCTCACAACCATCTGTAACTTCGGCACCTGTACAGATGTCATACACACACACACACACACACACACACACACCAAACACACAATTGTATATATAAATAAAAATTAATCTTTTAAGAGACTCAATAGATAGATAGATATAGACAGACATATGAGATGAGTGTACAGAAAGATAGGTGGATAAATGAATGGGTCAACGTGCAATGTTTAATCTTAATTGCCACTCTGACTGCATTGAGAAGCACCATGCCTGGCGTCCATCCCTGAGTGTGCCTGCCAGGGCTGTTCTAGACACCCTTAGAGCACAGAGCTCTTCTGATAACTGATACATGGTGTATGCACAGTTGGACAGACAGATGGACAGTCAGCCTCCCCTGGGTAGGTGATAGACGGACAGGTCGATGTGTGGGTAGCTGTCAAAGGAGTCGGTGGGCCCGTGATGAGCCGGCCACTCACCCCTATCCCTCCTAGAGATACTCACAGTAAATATGTCACCGTGCTTCTCCTTCATCCGGGTAAGGAAGCTGGCAGCATCTCTCCCAAACTCCAAGGCATGGCCCAGCCAGGGGATGCTCCCCACGTCCAAGGGAGGCTCACCGGGCCGCCTGCAGAAGCCACAGCACCACGTGATTAAAGGGAGGGAGGGGACAGAGAGCAGAGGCCATGGGGAGGTCAGGGGATGCTGACAGAGGTGGAAGGGCCTGATGGCTTCTGAGAGAAAGGCTTGCCAGCAAGAGAGAACAGCAAGAGCAAAGCCCTGGAGGTGGTGCTATGGGCTCAAAGGACACTATGGAAGCGGGTATGGGTTGGCCAACAGAGTAAGTACAAGCAAGTGTAGCCAGAGCCAGAGAGGTTGTGGGTGAGCCCCTATGGTCACGTGGATAGGAGGACTGTGGCTTTGTCTCTGAGTGAGATGGGGGTCCTGGGTGGGTCTGTGCTGAGGATGACTGGTGTGGGGAAGATCCATGAGCCTCTGGGTAGAGAACGGACACAAGGGTGAGGGTGGAGGCTGGGGGCCAGGCAGGGTCTATGCATAGGCGACTCCCTGTGGGAGGAAGCTTCCAAAACCCAACAGAGGGTCCAGAGTTCTCTGAGCCAGTCTAGGCTCAGGTCATCTCACATTCCCTCTCCTGCCCACAGGAGAGAGCAGTGTCAGGGACAGGCTTCGTCACTCTCTCACTGTCCTCAATGGCTCCAAATCTGAGAGCCCTCCATTGTAAGAGCCAGGCCATGCCCTTGGGGGAAGGCCAAGAATGGAGGTTGCCTTGACAACCCACAAAGGTTATGTCTGTACTGTCCAGGGTCAGAGTTCCCTGGGGAAAGAACACTGTAAGGTACTTGCAGGTCCCTGAGGAAGGCAGGGTCCCACTACAACCCACGGTGAGCACCTGGTCTTTCCTTGACATGTAGCGTGTGTGTGTGTGTGTGTGTGTGTGTGTGTGTGTGTGTGTACGCATGCGTACATGTGTGTATACATGTGCAAGGCCTGGAGAGGAACTGGAGTTACAGGCAGTTGTGAGCAGCTCAATACGGGTGCTGGGAACCAAACCAGGTCCTCTATAAGAACAGCAAATACTGTAACATCTCTCCAGCCCCAGGGAACAGTCTTTAAAAGAAGCTTCCTGCCAGGCGTGCTGATACAATCCCAGCACTCTGGAGGCAGCAGCAGGCGGATCCCTGTGAGTTCAGGGCCAGCCTGGTCTACAAAGCGAGTCCAGGACAGCCAAGGCTACACAGAGTAACCTTGTTTCAAAAAGCCAAAACAATTCATGAGTGAGTGAGTGAGTGAGAATGGGTGAATGAATGAGAGAGCAATGAGTGAATGAATAACTGAGAGTGAATGAGTCAGTAAACAGATGAGTGACTGAGTGGATAAATGAGCGGCCAGTGCAGGGATGAGTAACTGACAGTGATTTGGTGAGTGGATGAAAGCCCGTGAGTGAATGAATGAATCATTGTCCTGTCTCTCCTCTCACTATGGTCCAGTCACTCACTCACCAACTCTTAACTAGGAGACAGACTCTGCCCTGGGTACTGAAGACAGAGCAGAGAACTGGACAGGTGGCCTCCAAACCTATCAGGAAGTGAACAAAAGAGGCACAGTTCAGCCACGGAGAACAAACATCCAGCTTAAAAATGCATGAGCTGGCCGTGGCCCTGCACATTGGTGAGGTCAGCCCCGAGAGGCTGAGAAGAAAGAAGCATGAGTCTGAGGCTAGACTGCACAATAAAACAGTCTCAAATGAACAAGGGCTGGGCGTGAGGCTCAGTAACCCAGTGCCTGCCTACCATTCATGAAGCTACAGATTCAATCCCCAACCCTAAATAGATGTCTATAGATTACAGATGGGTGGATGGATGGTTGGAGATAAATATTTAAAAATGAGCCAGACATGCTGGCCAGGCCTGGAATCGCAGCACTCAGATGCTGAGCCAGAAAGACCATGAGTTTGAGACTTGAGTTTAATGAAGACTGTTTCAAAAGAAACTAACAGACAACAAACTATTAAATGCACAAAGATTTGAGTGGGATGTTCCCCAAAGAAGATGCCAAAATGACCGGAGGGCATTTCCCCGGTTACCACGGAAACACAATTACAAGGTACTAATTTGTACCCACTCTAATGGCTACAATTTTTTTTTTCTTTTTAAGTTAAAAGGAAAAGAAGAGTTTGCAAGGCTGTGAAGAAACTGGAACACACAGATACACGGACGCAGCTGCCTTGTGTAGAAACCGAAACACACGGACGTACACGGATGCAGCTGCTTTAGAAGCCAGCCCAGCAGTTCCATAACGGGTAAACAGGCCACACGATGAAGCGATTTAGCACCAAGAAGCAGAAACAGGTGCACGCATAAGCAAGCACACTGTTGCACACAGCAGCGCTGTTCATAACCGTCACGGGGCAGAAACGACCCTGCGCCCACCGACTGACGGCGAGATAAGCTAAATGTGGTATGTCCGTGCTGCGGAACATTATTCAGCCTTGAAAGATGAAGAAAGCAGTGATGACTCTTAAAGTCCCGGTGCTAAGGAGAAGCATCAGGAGACCCACCCGGCTAGGAATACATTAGGTTGCCTGGGGAACACGGATAGAAAATGGCTGCCGGTAGAGACGGGGTGTCTGTTCAGGAGAAAATGTTCTGGAATTAGGGGTGCTGTCTGTTGAACCTCGTGACTACACAAAAACCCTTGAGTTGCCCAGTTTTAAACAGTGAATTTTATGGTAGGTGGATTACATCTCATTAAAGAAAAAGTACGGAACAGTGGCTAGGACAGTGGGAGACTGTATGGACCAGGATGATGAAGAGGCTTGAGGCGTGAGAAGACTTTGGAAGAAGAACCTACAGGCAGAGGGAATGGTAAGCGCAAAAGGCCGGTGGCAGTGTATTGAACGGGGTCTTCAGGCTTGCAGCAACTCGTGTGGCCCAAGAGGAGAATGCAGAGATGACTCGAAATGACGATGTTAGAGATGACCTTGAAGAGCATGACGGCCTGAAGGTCAAGGACAGTCTGCCTTCCATGTCAAACACAACGAGGATCCATCCCACAGAGAGGTTAAGGCATGAGTCTTGCAGTGATGTGACCGGTTTTTAAATTAGGACTTCAGTAGAGAGAGGCAAGAGGAAAGACAGAGGGGTCAGGAGAGCCCAGGGACTGTCCAAGAGGGGGGGGCCTGGCATCAGCTCCCCCAATTCCAGAGTGAGGGGCTTTGGTTCACATCCAGCAATTCAATGCAGCACACGATTTCCCCTGCCTCCTCCCTCCACTCCTCCATCTGGCTGACTCTAGCCTCTCTAGAGAGTACCAGGGTGTGTGGGACAGGATGGCCACGGCTGGGAGAGACTGAAGCAGGCCTAAAGATGATGTTGGGGGGGGGCTCATGAAGTGTCTTGCCCTCCAGCCTCCTAACACCCACCCACCCACCCACCCACCCACACACACACACACACACACACACACACACCAGACTGCTCTGGATCACTCACAAGCCCAGCTTCTCTGGGCTCAAAGGAGACAAAGCCAGCGTGTCCCCGGTGGCAGTGACTTCCAGGAACTGCCAGGGACCTTCTTCCTTCCTAATCCCTTTGAAGCCCTGGGCTGGAAGGCTCTTCTGGCATGCAAAGAAACAGCCCAGTAGCCAGCATGCACCTGGCCCTACCAGCCCAGGCCCACGTCTGGGATCAAGACCCAGAGCAGCGGGTTGTGCAAGGGAGACAAGGAGGCCAGTGGTTACCACCCAAACATGGACGTCAGCTTGTGACTTAGCTGTTCTCAGCTTCAGTTTCCTTGTCTATAAATGGGAAGAGCTACATTAGGGACACTGTCAGTCTAATGAGGGTGAATGCGGAGCCAAGGAGAGCAACTGACCCCCGGCAGCCAGGAGCAACGGGGAGAAGGACCCAGAAGTCCCCCAGTGTCATTTACTGAGCCATGGTTCCAATTGAATTACCACCCATACCATCAGTCAGTGTCACCTCGCTGGGTCGTAGCAGATGCTGTCCAAAGGCCAGAATTGTGTTCCTTTCAAGGAGCAGCATTTCCCACCAGGCCCATTTTACAGAGGAGAAAACTGAGGCATGGAGAGACTGAGGCTGTTGCCTGGAGGTTCCCTTCAGGAGTGCTGGCTTTTGACCCAGAGCCCGTCTGACCCTAGTGAGCATTTGTCACAGACCGATGTCAGCAGCCTGCCATGAGCAGGACCTGCGATTGTCCTGTGGCCATCTTTGGGGCCAGAGGTACTTCCTTCTCCAGGCTTTACCCTACCTCAGTGATGGTGCAATGAATCAGGTGTTATTTCTGGCCATGCCCTTCTTCCCACATCGAAGTGCAAGAAGGCACAGACAAAGGCAGGAAGCTGGAGCCTGGGCGCCTGGGCCCCTCAGGCAGCTGGCCGAAACCCTGCACTGGACCCCAAGCCAATCCAGGTCCAGGCCACATTCCAGGATGACTCAGCCTGAGGACAGTGGGAGGTGGGGAGGGCAGTAAGGAGGCTCTATTTCAGGGCCTGCGGTCTCCCAAGGCTAATTGACACTCTCACTCTTCTGAGGCTCTGCCAGGCCCAAGTGGAGCTGGGGGAGGGAAGCGTTGAGGCTTGTCCCTACCATCCTAGGCTCCGCGTAGCAAGATGTCCCTCTGGACTCTCTCCTAGATAGCTGATTCTCACCGGGCAGAGGCCTCTAGACTCATGAGTCCTAACTCACAGAGCCCCAGGGCCAGCCGTGCCACCGTCTTCGTGAAGCAGGGGAGGGAGTCTGGGGTGGCCCTCTAAGGTAACCCTGGCTTGACAATGGTGTTCTCATCGGGCGAATATATTCCAGGAGAACAGAAGACCCCGTGTTCACTCAGACTCTGGAAACTGCGCCTGGAACGTAGTAGGAGCTTAAAGAATATACATCACAAGACTAAAGTGTGCACAGAGTCAGACTCTGTGAGGAGGCCTGCCTCCCAGAGCTGCTGAGAGGGCCGGGAGGGCCAGGCAGGTGAAGGGCCTGGCAGCCCGGGTTCTGGAATGCTAGCTCAGAGGCTGGTTCAATCGGCTGTGCAATGCTGGTAGGCCGCCCAACCTTTCTGCGCAAACTTCAGTTAGGGGCAGAGCAAGAA